CAGTAGACATCGGAGTGTTTATTTATCTTAAATCATGCAATGGCCACACACTAGCAAATGTGTATTTCTTTCAGGGCCCTGTAGAAGGTACACACAGGACTATAAGCAAGGAAATAAACCACTCTTGACTTTGAAACAACTTAGTTTTGAGACTGATGTAGGTGTTATTTGTGCAGCCAACAGGTAGATACAACTTTAGGAATATTGTGGCCTTTAGGGAGGGGATGGAAATTCCACCTCCTGGGGGAAAGAAGAAGCAATGGGCAGGAGGCCTGCTGAGGATTTACCAAGCCAGCTGGGTGACTGTGGACTGTCAGTGCGCCATTGTCTATGCTACCACATCTAACATTTGTTTTAGGGAATTAGGAAGGATCCCAATGTGCAAAACCATTTTTAATCATCTGTCTGTAGAAAAGTCGTGCGTCATTTAATGTTGGGCTTGCAAGATAGAAACATAAAGATATCTTGACCACTGAAGTGAGGAAATATGGAAATAGCTCTCATGAGGCAGTAGAACCCCCTACTATCTGATTGGGAAACAAAAGGGGAGGGACTGGTGACGATGACCGCTTTTAAAACTGTCTCCAGCTGGTCCTCCTGATGGGCCAAGTAGGAAATGACAGTGCAGATCTGCCCATGTCTGTGTTGTGGCTTTAGTGAATCTGGATGTTATGGACAGCCAAGGGGCCCACTGAGGGCTCTAAGCAGGTGAGTGATACCATCAGAGGGTAGATTCCAGCGGTCTGGATTCTCTCAGCCTCAGTGGGAGCAGTGTAGTCGGGATTAAGCCAGAGACCCTGTCATGTGTAGCTGTTACATTAATTCTCATAGGACACGGTACTGTCATCCACACAGCCACTGTTGCAACCTGTCTTCTGAGAATTCCCACATTTCCTGACCAGGGTGGGGCCACCTGCTGTTAAAGCATGTCTCAGGTAGTTACTTTCCCACCATAAATGTGGTTAATACCCTCAGAAGCAGTGTATCCGGTAAGGAATACATCGGTAGCCCCGTAAGGGAACCCATTTAGAACACCTGTCAGCCAGGAAGGTGCTGTTCAGTGGAAGTTGTGCTGTGACACACTTTCCACACTTCCCAAGCTTTCCGCTCACAACACTAAGTATTCTTTCAATTAACACTTTGAAGGAACTTACATCTGAAGTGCATTTCTAGTAGGATAACATACACAACATTGCATAATGTGAAAAAGATTTAATGTCTGTAGCTTAACACAGCATTTCTTGAATTCCTGAGATATGCTGCCCACCTTACATTCAATGAGTGATTCAGAAAACCTTGAATTGCTTGCAGTATGCATAAAATTCTTTAGGTCAAACTAAACGTCTGTTGTCTGCTTCCCAGTTCCTGTTATATCCAAGTCCATCTGCCTGTCTTCATGGCCTTCCTCTTTCTTGCTCCCTAGGAGTGACCCAGGTGGGAATGAAAGACATGGCTGAGGAGGAGAATCCAGGGAAGAAAGATGTTTCCGTTAGTGTCTTTAAGAGGACTGACTGTGTATTCAGAAAAAAAAAATACTATCTGAACCACCTCCTTATCTGAATAGAAACCAACTCCAGAGGTTCACAGTTCATGTGTAAATATCAAGCAGGTTAAGAAGCACTTGAACCAATCACCACTATTGTTATTCAGTCTTAGATTTGGCTTTGGGACATACTGGGCTTTCTAGAAATGTAGGAGTTTGCAGGGAAGTTGTGTTGTGTATGATGACTGTGAGCAAAGTCAAGGCTGAGAGCAGACTCCTGAAGAACAGAGCTGAGGGTGGGGAGTCTGCCAACCTGCGGGCTGCCCAGGGCACCCCCTGGAGAAACAGCTGCATGAGGGACCCAGAGGGAACCCTGGCCTGACAGGTGCACAGGGCTTTGTGGGAGCCCCGCCCCCACCCTCCCACCTGCCTGTTCTTGTCTCTGTGCTGGGACACAAGGCCTGGGAAAAGCACAGAGAAAGGCCTTGGGGAGGGTTTCCCCGAGCCCCTGCCCGCCAGGTACTTGCCCTTTCCAGTCCACACTTACAGAACCTGAGGCATAATTCTTCCCGTACTGCACACTGGGACATGGATCCCAGCCCGACATCGGCACTTGCCTCCTGCCCTGTGTTCCTGCTGTCAGCATCCCTGGGCACTTCCTTCTCCAGTTCCTCTCTCCACAGTGAGCGGTATTGCACCTGGCATCTGCAAGACTTCCCACACCTTCTGTGCCTGGGGAGCCCTCACCCTTCCTTCTGTCTCTAAACTCCAGTTCCCTAAGATCACTCCCTGCGGGTAAATTCTAGAAAGTGCCAGTGCCACCCAAACAGGTCTGCTCAGCACCCTCAGCGTCTCACTGGGACAGCATGTCCTACCTTGGCCTGTGGGCACCTTCAAGTAAGCTGCTCATGCCCCAGGAGCAGGGCTGCCCTTTCCTCCACAATATTTTCACTGCTTCTTCTACCCAACTTTTATTCCTCATCGCTTCAAGTTCCTGCTCTAGGAACATAGTAACAGCTAAACTAATCTCCTCCAACAAAGCAAAGCAGTCTGGGACTGTAGAGCTTCCTGTGGGAAAGTTGGTGTCAGCTCTCACATATTTTCCCCTTTTCTTTGCATGCTAGCTCCATTGTCTCCTGGATAGATAAGCAATGCTGACCTGTTCTGAGCCTCTCTTTCCTAACTTGAAAAGGAAGAAGACTAATGGTGACACCTCCCATGCAAGGCCTTTGTGAGGCCTAGAAGCAGTAAGAAGGGCAAAGCAGCTCACAGGTGCCTGTCACATGGGGAGGGCTCAGGGCCCGGGCCCCTCCCTGCTTCCTGCAGGACACCCAGCTCACAGCTTCCATCAGAGGGGGAAGGCTCCGGGGTTGGGGGCCTCCTTTCTACTGACTCCACCAGGCCCACCTGCAGGACAGAGGGCAGTCAGGGAGGCAGTCCCAACCCAGAAAGTCCTGGAATCCATCCACACTGGGTGCCTTCCTCATCGCCAGGGAAACCTGGCCAGCCACTGTGCTGTGTGGAGCTTAGACAGGCTGAGGGTCATTGGAACCCGAAGTTGATCCACAAAAGCATTCTTTTTTTTTTTTTTTTTTTTTTTTTTTTTTTGACAGGCAGAGTGGACAGTGAGAGAGAGAGAGAGACAGAGAGAAAGGTCTTCCTTTGCCGTTGGTTCACCCTCCAATGGCCGCTGCGGCCGGTGCACCGCACTGATCCGATGGCAGGAGCCAGGAGCCAGGTGCTTTTCCTGGTCTCCCATGGGGTGCAGGGCCCAAGCACCTGGGCCATCCTCCACTGCACTCCCTGGCCACAGCAGAGGGCTGGCCTGGAAGAGGGGCAACCGGGACAGAATCCGGCGCCCCGACCGGGACTAGAACCCGGTGTGCCGGCGCCGCAAGGCGGAGGATTAGCCTAGTGAGCCGCGGCGCCGGCTTACAAAAGCATTCTTGTTGATGTCCTCAGACACGGAAAGAGCCGACAGACAGAGAAAGTAAATGAAAATCCAAAGAGGAATTGAATACTTTCAGAGCCTCAGAGCACAAGTCCAGGAACAGGCTGGGGGCCGGGTGGATTAGCACATCAGCATCAACAAGGTGGCTTTTTTTAAGCTCTCTCTTAGGAAACCTCCTAACCAAATACCCTAATTGTCGTTATCGAATGAATTTCCTGCAGGAAACAGTGTGGGATCTCCAATCGGTGTTGGGAAGTGAGGGAGTCTCACCCACTTCCTTTTCCGTGTGTGTGTGTGTGTGTTTTTATTTCTTTACTTGAAAGGCAGAGATACAGAGAGAGGAGAGAAGGGGTGAGAGAAAAGTATCTTCCACCCACTGGTTCACTGCCCCTATGTCCGCAGCAGCCAGGGCTGGGCACTTGGACCATGTTCAGCTGTTTTTCCCAGGTGCATCAGCAGGGAGCTGCATTGGAAGTGGAGTAAACCGGACTGGAATCAGAATCCATGAAGAATGCCGGCACTACAGGCAGATTTACCTGCTGTGCCACAGTGCCAGCCCTTCCCCCTCTCCTTTCAGAGGTCCCAGGACAAGGCTCCATGGAGCTCTGACCCAAGGGGGCCTTGGCACAAAACACCATCCTTTGTCAGCAGTGGTTCTTTTTATTTTTTAATTTACAGTTTATTCATTTATTTGAAAGAGGGGGAAAGACAGAGCTCCCAACGTCCGATTCACTCCCCAAATGTCCACAGTAGCCGGATCTGAGTGAGGCTGAAAAGCCAGGAGCAGAAATCTGTCCTGGTCTCCCACATGGCTGATGGGGCCAAGTTACTTGAGCCATCCCCGCTGCCTCTTAGGGAGCGCTCTGTGGCCTTAAAGAGGCAGAGGGACATGTGCGAAGGCACTGTCAGTTTTAGTGTCGTCTCTGTGAGATGTCAACCTTGCCTCCTTCATGCAGGAAGAGTACCTAGTTTAAGGAGAGAAATAGTTTGTTCTAGACGCCGCTGCTTCAATCTCAGCATGTTCTCAGACAAGAGAATCTGCCTCCAGGGGGCACAGCTGTCCTGTGTGGTCAGTGCTTGTCTGAACACTGTAAGGACAGAGTGTAGAATCAGAAACAGGCTCTAGCTGTAGAGCCATGCATATCACGGACTCTGGCATCATTAAGAGAGTGGTTCAACCAAGTAGAGTGTGGTTACCAAGCAGTCACTTGATAAACGGTGGTAGTTCCGAGAGAGGGGGGAGTGACCTCCCATTCTCGCAAGGCCCTGGTAACAGTGTGCTTCTCCAAAGGAGACTGGGGCTTGACATTGCCTCCTGCGCAGTGCTGTGTGGGGTGGACTCTTCCACCAGATGACCAGGGCTGCCCTAGGCTGTGTCCCTGGGGACGGGAAGGTGGGGCAAGGTAGTGGCCCTCCTCAGGGAATGGACTGGAATAGCAACCTTCTGCACTACACCTGTCTCTGGCTGGTGACCATCCACCATGGTTTTGTGTCTGGGCGGGGGGGGGGGGGTCTGTTTTGGCTGAGAATGTGCATTGCATGACCTTGAGGCTGTGAAGAGAGAGACCCTATCTGCGTCTGTTGAGTGTCCTGAACCAGCAGACCACTGTGCTAATCCTCTGAGAAGTTCTTCCTGTGAAAAGGCGAGGGAGAGGCAATCTGACCTCATCCTCATCCCACAGTGCTTCAGACAAAACTGCCTTTTGGGCCCCTCCCAAGCAGTGGCACTGACCTGCTGACAGCAGCCGTGGTGGGGGCAGCAGGCAGGCTGGTGCAGCTGGGTCTGGGACAGCCAAAGAGTTTTGATTAGGACGACCAGAACAGTGGTTGAACCCCCAGTTCCTTTCCCAGACACAAAGCCGGGAGCTAGCAGCTGGGCGCCGGCAGGTGCTCATATGGGATGCTGGTGTCACAAGTGAAGACGTAAACCTCTCTGCCAAGATGCCATCCCAAAACGCCATTGACGACTCTTCTGCATCTACCCAAAAATAGGTCACCTCTTCTGTTTCTTGTTTGATTTTTTTACAGACAGCAGAAGTGATAGTTGCATCAGAACTGTGGTCTGGTTCCTGATTCTGTACTCTCACTGATCCTCCCACCTAGACTAAGCTCGGTGAGGTGAAGGTCATGTCCACTGCCTCCTCCTCTTCCTCCTGCATGTGGCTGGCAGCAGATGCTCCAAGTCGACTGTGTTAAGTAAGCCCGAGGTAATCAGTGCAGGAGCCGGGAATTGTCTGATCACCCATTAGCATTAGTGGCAGCCAAACTGCTGCTGGCCTTCTTTCTGCTCTCCTCCTCCCTGGGCCAGTTCCTCCTGTAAAATAAAGACTTAGACTGCTTATTGCTCTCTACATTCCTAAGGACAGACAGGAAGTCCTTGCTAGTAATAACAGCATGGGCAGAGGGGAATAAATTAGAATATGTCCTGGGTTTCCAGGAGTGCTCTCTGTGGCCTCGTCTTTAGTTGTTTGGTGCTGGTTGTCATAAAGTCTGGGACAGCAGGGGCTGCCTTCCTAACTGCACGCACACACAAACACACACACACACATGCACAGACATGCACGCACACACAAACACACACACACACATGCACAGACATGCATGTACACACAAGCACGCGCACACAGACACGCACCCCTCCTCTCTAATCTGAGTCCTCCAGGACTCTAGCCAAGGCCCAGGGATCTGCCCCGCTGATCCCAGCTCCAGATGAAGCCCAGGGGACATCTTGTCTCTTCTCAGGGTCCCACCCTTGTTGTTGTCCTGTGGCTTCCCTCCTGCTGCTGGCAGCAGGCCCTGAGGTGGCTTCTCTGTGGCCTGGGTCATGACTGGCGCTGACGATCTGTGTCCGGCTCGCTGGGCACTGCAGCCACGCTCACCCCTGGCAGTGGCCTGTGAATGACTTTGTCATGGTTTCCTGAGCCTCAGAACTAGCCTCCCAGCAGAGGTTTGTTATCAGAGGAGCTCATGGCCATAAACAGCTGCGGATGCAGTCTGCTGGGTCCCACTGCAGGGACTGACCCCCTTGCTTTTGCTGAGTGACAAGGGATCCAAGCAGTCCATGTGGGATCACCATTAAACCCTGAATGGCAGACATCAGGAAACTGATCTATAAGAAGGTTCACCAGTGGCCTGTGACTGGAAAAGATTGTACCCTCTGCCAAGGATTCTTTGTTTTGGTTAATTTTTATTTATTTTCTTCATCTGCAAGGTACCAGGACACACAGAGAGAAACAGAGACACAGAAAGATGTCTCATCTACTGATTCTCTCCCCAAATGTCCCTAGCAGCCAGACTGGGCCAGGCTGAAGCCAGGAGCCCAGAACCCAACTACCTGTGCCACCATCGGCTGCCTGCCAGGGTGCATGTGAGCAGGAAGCTGGAATCAGCAGAACTAGGACTCAACTTCAGGTGTCCTGATATGGGACCCAGCTGTCCCCAGTGACATTTTCACCACTGTGTCAGATGCCCCCAGCACCTCCCGGTGTTCTTCCAGAAAGGAAATTCCCACATACAGAACACATTTACCTTTAAAAACAGATTTATTTATATTTATTTGAAAGGCACAGTTACAGAGAGAGAGAAAGAGTTCCAGCTGCAGATTTATTCCCCAAATGGCCACAATGCCTGGAGGAAGGCAGGATCCAGAAGCTTCTTCTAGGTCTCCCACATGGGTGCAGGGACCCAGGGACTTGGGCCATCTTCTGCTCTTTCCCAGGCACTTTAGCAGGGAGCTGGTTTGGAAGTGGAGCAGCTGGGACTCGAACTGGTAACTAAATGTGATGCTGGTGTTGCAGGCGTCAGCTTTACCTGTCTCACCACAACACCGTCTCCCGTATTTACCTTTTTAAAAAAATTTCTCCCATGTTAACAAAATTCACAAACAGTGAAAACCTATGACAAGATTTAAATGTGCTTAAGACATTTTGTAAAGTAAGTGTATGAACAAATGAGTTGTTTAATATCACTTATGTGTGAATGAGCAGTACTGATTCCTTGGCCTTTGGGTGTGAGTACTTGGTACCCAGAGCCAGACACCTGCTACCCAGCATGACTGCCATTCTGTGTGGTCAGGTAGGGGAGCCTCAGCCATCCCTTTTGACTAGATCTGGAACTGCTCTCCTGGTCACTCTTGGGTTTACTTTGACACTTCAGAAGGCTTTCGCAGTGGGTGAGGGGAGACTCTGGCATCTGGGAGCAGAATGCGGTGGGAAGGAGTTGCCCTGGAGTTTCAAATTTAAAGTTAGTCCTCAGGGTGGTCATTTGATCTAGAGGTTAAGACAATGCTTGAACCCGGGTCCTGGTTCAAGTTCAGGCTCTAATTCCAATTCCAGCTTCCTGCTAATGCATACCCTTGGAGCTGCTGACAATGACTCAAGTAGTGGGGTCCCTGCCACACATATAGAGAGACAGATTCCAACCTCGTAAATTCAGTTCAGCCCAGAATCAGCTGTTTTGAGTGTTTGGTTTGGTGACACTTCTCTCTCTCTCTCTCTCTCTCTCTCTCTCTCTCGATCTTTCAAGTAAATAAGTTGAAATAACATTCTGCCTAATTTTCTTTAAATATTTATTTTATTTATTTGAAAAGCAGAGTTACAGAGAGAGAGAGAGAGAGAGAGAGAGAGAGAATAATGAGAGAAAGAGAACTTCCATCCACTGGTTTGCTCCCCTCAAAATGGCTGCAGCATTGGTATGGGCCAGGCTGAAGCCAGGAGCCAGGAGCTTCCTCTAGGTCTGCTACATGTGTGCAGGGGCCCAAGCACTTGGACCATATTCTGCTGTTTTCCCAGGCAAATTGCAAGGGGCTAGATTGGAGGTAGAGATTCGGGTCTTGAACCAGCACCAACATGAGATGCTGGCATCATATACAACTGCTTTATCCACTTTCCCACAACACCAGCACAAATTCTACTTTCTTTAACATATGTAATACTAAATATGTACATTCTCCTCTCAAAATATTAATCCTAATGCTTCCTGTCTCTTAAACATTTTCCTACTTCTTCCACTCTTCTTGTGGTTGAAGAATATTACAGAGGAAATGCTATTAGGAAGAGCTTGAGAAGGGCCGGTGTTAGTTCCTCTTTAAAGGTTGGGTAGAATTCATCTGTGAAGCCATTGGGTCCAGGGGCTTTCTTTGGAGGACACTTTGATTTACTGATGGAATATCTTTACTTGACATTGGTCCGTGCATATTTCTAATTTCCTCATGATTAAGTCTGAGTAGGTTATGTTGATCCATCGTTTAAGTTGTCCTATTTGTTAGTGTACAACTATTGATGGTAGGTTCTTAGGACCTCTGTATTTCTGTGATTTCAATTGTGCTGTCTCCTCTTTCATTTCTGATTGTTTTAAAAGATACTATTTATTTGAAAGGCAGAATTACAGAGAGACAGGAGAGAGAGAGAGCGCGAGTGTGTGTGTGTGTGTGTGTGTGTGTGTGTGTGTGTATGTATGTAAGAGAGAGATAGATTTTCCATTTGCTGGGCCATTCTCCAAATAACCTCAATGACCAGAGCTAGGCCAGGCCAAAGCCAGAAGCCAGGCGGTTCATCTGGGTCTCTTGCAAGGACTTGGGCGTCTTCTGCTGCTTTCCCAGGTGTGATAATGGAGCTGGATCAATCACGGAGCAGAGGGAACTCAAACAGCACCAACATGGGATGCTGGCGCTGCAGACAGCAGATTAACCCACCGTGCTACCCCAACCAACATGACATGTTTTCCCTTTGGACTGCTAAAATGACACAGTAAGAGAAGAATTACTTTGTAAACCCTTAACCAACTTTATAAGATAAGAGTATTTATAGGACTTGCACTTGCATTATTTGTTACCTGTTGCTGATTCAGTCTTCCCTCGGCGCTAACCTGGGACAGTGTCATTCCACATAAACGGAATATAATGGCTGTGAGGATTTCTAATGGAATCAGGGACTGGCGTTGTGCCTCAGCATCCCATTTCAGAGGACCAGTTCCATATGGGCTTCTCAGTATCCAATCCACTTTCCTGCTAACAGCCTGGAAAAGCAGTAGAAGATGGTCCATGTGCGTGGGCCCCTGTACCAACGTGGGAGACCCAGATGGAGTTCAGGCCTCCTGGATTCGGCCTGGCCCAGCCCTGGCTGTTGTGGCCATTTGGAGAGTGAAACTTGGATGGAAACTCTCACTCTGCCTTTCCCGTTTCTCTGTGTCACTCTGCCTTTCCCGTTTCTCTGAGTCGCTCTGCCTTTCCCGTTTCTCTGAGTCGCTCTGCCTTTACAATAAATATGAAGTCTTTAGAAACAATTTCTAAGGGAATCATAGTCATTTTGGCCTTCAAGGATTAATGTGACACAACAATCATAGTAGCTAATAGCTTCCAAGCTAGGAAGCGGTCTTGGGGCCTCCTTTGTCTCTGGAAAATTTCCAGGGCTTTTCTTACTGTTTTCCATTTTTTCTTTGTGGAAGATGGGGGAACATAACTTTGGAACAAATTGCAAGTTTTATTCTGGTGTAGCATTAAAAAGAAATAGTCAACCACATTTACAGAAAAATATACTTTTGTGTTGTTTATAACTTTCAGAAATGGTTGCTAAAATGTATATAACCCATAATGTTTTTTAGAGAAAACAGAAGAGAGGCAGGTATGTGGTGCAGCGGCTTAGGCCTGGCCCAGCCCTGCCTTTTGTGGGCATTTGGAGAGTGAACCATGGATGGAAGGTCTGTGGGGATCCCACAGGAGTTCCAGAAGAGTTACAGAGCACCACTAACCCAAAAAGAAAGAGAAAAAGCAAAACCAAAATGGAGTCACTTAAGCTAAGCCCACTAAGCACCAGGACCTGCCCAGAGCATCTGTCTGAACAGACACAGGTGGTGAGGCCTGATAGGGCCTGGGGGACATTACATCATAAGAAGTAGCCAACTGGCTGGTGCTGTGGCTCAATAGGCTAATCCTCCACTTGCGGCACTGGCACACCAGGTTCTAGTCCCGATCGGGGCACCGGATTCTCTACCGGTTTCCCCTCTTTCAGGCCAGCTCTCTGCTGTGGCCCAGGAGTGCAGTGGAGGATGGCCTAGGTCCTTGGGCCCTGCACCCCATGGGAGACCAGGAGAAGCACCTGACTCCTGGCTCCGGATCAGTGCGGTACACCCGCCACAGCGGCCATTGGGGGGTGAACCAACAGCAAAGGAAGACCTTTCTCTCTGTCTCTCTCTCTCACTGTCCACTCTGCCTGTCCAAAAAAAAAAAAAGTAGCCAACCAGCTGGCTACTGCATTACTCCACCCTCACCACTGCACCACGATTGGCCACACCCAGAACACCCCTAACGCACCATTGGTCACACCCAGACACCCACATCTGTTGCTGACCCCCAAAACGATAAGTCTGTGATTGGTGATGCCCTAGAGCACCCTCACTGCCCACCAATTCCAGAGAGGATAAAAAGGCCAGCCTCACAGCTGCCTCATCCCCTGAGGAACATGACTCAGAGTGAAACTCTGCCCATGTCTCTACTGACAGAAGCTCTGCTCACCTTCGCAGTCGCTGCCGGAGCTGACATGGGAGCCCGACCGGACCTCTCATCAGTGACCTCTCCAACCCTCCACCTTCATCTTGGAACTTGGAGACTACTGCCCAGAGTGCCAGTCATCCCACGACTCCTGCCCATAAGTGACTGCTCTGAGATCCGTCTCTCCAAGTGGTAACAGAGATTTTGGACTCTGGACTTTGAACCTTGACTTTTCATGACCATGATAGGAACCTTGAGAATGGAGCACACATATTTCACCCTTAGCCATGAGTAAACGTTTAGATTGATTATTCTTTATGCTTTGTTTGTGTTATACTTATTACCATTGTTGGATATTGTTAGATTGTTTTACTCCTAGATGTGTGTTATGACCTGTGGGCTAATAACAGATTGTGTGGTATTGACCTTTAGATATGTGCATTGAATAAATACATTGAGTGGTATTTAGCAATAAATTATATTGAAAAGCCTATCTCGATTCTGTGTGATTTTTCTCCCCGTGCTCGACTGTTGCATTAGCCTTGTCGAGCTGTGTGACAAGTGGCGCTCACGACAAGATCTTTCTTCACTCTCCCTCTCTCTCTCTAAAGTAGATGAAAATAATATAAACATTAACAAACACAGTGAAGTTAAGTAAGTTTAGGATACTCTAACTCAATGTGTGATATTAGAATTTCTATTTCTTGGCATGAATACTGCAGTGCAGGTGGTTAAGCTTAGTTAAGCCTCATCCCCTCATCTGAGTGCCTGGTGGGGTCCCAGCGACTCTGTCCTTCCAGCTGAGCTGCCTGTAGTGCAACATAGAGGCGGCTGATGGTGGCATGTTCATTCACATTCCCTCTGATGCCATTTGAGATCCACTGTCTGTACTCTGCCAAAGGCTCTTTTCTCCAATAGCATGTTTGTGTTTAACTTTTGATTTTATACTGCCATCTCCCATACACTGGCTCACTCCTCAGATGCCTGCCATAGCTTAGCCTGGGCCAGGAGTCAGGATCTCCTTCTGAGTCTTCCATGCGGGTGGCAGGATCCCCATTCCTTGAGGCACCCCCTCTGCCTCCAGGCTGTGGGGTAGCAGAAAGCTGGAATCAGGAGTGGAGCCAGGACTCGGTCCCACACCTTCTGAGAGGGATGGGAGCATCACACACAGCAGCCCAACCATGGGCAAAAGCCCCATCCTCATTTTGCCATTTAGTTGTAATATTTTAGGTGTCCAGATTTCTCTCTCTTTCTTGCTTTAGCCTGGGTGCTACTGTATGAGGCGCTACTCCACCAAGCTTCTAAAAATATTCAGCATGGTCTCCTTTTAGTATCTGCCAATTTGGCAAGAGCACGAACAAGTCCCCCTCCTGTACTTCATATTGCTTCAGGTTCTCAGAAAACTGATCTTTTAAATATGCTTACCAACCGTGTTTATTTCTCCTCCTGGAAATTGTTTAGATTATTCTTGGTTTCCCTTTCTGCTGGATATTTGTGTGTGTGTGTGTGTGTGTGTATGTGTGATGACTCTGCAAGAGCTCTTTAGGTTTTCATAGACATCCACCTCAAGATTTGGAAAATAATGGGCCCTTTTGAGATTATGTATGGGAGAGCTAGAAAACGTTCATGAAAGTGCTGGCATTTGGCACAACTGTTAACGTGTCACTTGGGATGTGCACATCCCATATCCGAGTGCCTTGGACTGAATCCAGGCTCTGCTTCTAATTCTAGTTTTCTGCTAATGCCCAGCCTAGGAGACAGCAAAGGATGGCCCAAGTTCTTCTTGCTCCTGCCAGCCACATGGGAGGCTTGGATGGAGCTCAGGGCAGCTGGCTTCAGCATGGACAATTAGAGCCTGGAATTAGACATCAGCCTCGTACTAGAGACATTTAGAGAGTAAGCCAGCAGAAGGGAAATCTCTCTCTGTCTCTGCTTTTTAATAAATAAAAGAAAAACATTTGTGGAGATAAAATGTAAAGTCAGACTTATCTTGTTGAAATACATCTTGAGTTCTGTACATAAAAACAGATTTTCAAAAAGATCATAGAAAATGCATATAGTGAAACAACTGTGCATGGTGTTTTTTTTTGTTTGTTTGTTTTTTGTTTGTTTTGCTTTAAATCAACTTAGCCTTGCAGCCAATTATTCCTTGAACTTTGTGAAGTGCCCTCATTTGTTGCAAAACTTCTGAGGTGCACTTTCAGCTGTCCGTGGCAGCCTAGGGGTGATGTCTCAGATCAGGGATCAGGAGATCTGACCTTTGACCGGAGGTGAACAAGAGGGAGGAGGGCAGGGAGGCAGGGAGAGGGGAAGACTAAGGAAGCAGCCCCTGGAAGGGCAAAGCCTGCCAAAGCAGGACTCCCTCTGCTGCTAGTGTGCATCCGCTGTGGCCACAGGGGAAACTGAAAGGGAAACTACTAGAAGGCAGGGAGGCTTGAGGGAAACTCCCAGGTTGGGGGGAGGGGGCGGAGCCTGATTTACCCATGTGATGCACAAGTGAGAGCAGAGAAATCCATGCACAGAACACAGTGCACTGGGATAGAAACGTGCTTTTGTCCTTGTGCCAGAGGTCTAGAGTCATGAAGCTGATTAGTTCAAGTTATACTCCTCTCACTCCCACCATCAGCAATCAGGCACTAGTGCCTTTCTCATCAACACAGGAAATAAAGTGCTTTTATACGGTGAGTCTTGCCTCTGGTGCTCAGAGTCTCTTTGCTGTGGGAAAGCTGTGATGTCCAAGGGGATCCTGTAGCTGTCACAGTGACATCTAACTAGCTTGTGTGTAACAACGTCATTTGTGTTTCTAACTCTAATTAGAATGTTAGAATGTAGGCACACAAGAAATCAGAACATGAAAAATCCCCTACCCTGTGTACACATTTCCACTGCTGTGTGCACGGTGTCTCCGTGCTAGGCAGCAGTACCAGGAGCAACCTGCTTTGCACACTTGCTGCAAGTGCACAGCCTTAACACAGTCACGCCAGGTAACTCTCCCGATGTGGCCTTTGTCAATACTCACTGCACTTTCGGGTATCAGGAGGCATTAGGAGCCTGTTCACTAAACACTTTGTAACCTTTTTGATAGCAGGGCAGTTGGAAAGCTTTCTGCATGTGATCAGCCTGTCTCTCTCACCTCTGTGTTAAGGAGTTGTGGGGCATCCTGGCGGAGAAACAAAACCCTGCTACAAAACCCTGCTGCATCCACGCTCTCACCCCCACTGCAAGCAGCCCCAGCAACAGCAACTCCACTGGCGCTCAGTGGTCACAGCTGGCCTCTTACCCCATTCCTGAGCCTCAGACCTACTTTAAGTGCACATAAGACTCCCTAAGAAGAATGAGGTCAAGGAAAGGCTCCCTGTGCCTGGAACCTTCCTGCCAAGCAGGGGATCCCGCACGTGGAAGGAAAGGTCATCTCCTCCCATCAGGTCATTTGGAAAAGTGTGGTTGACCTGGACTGGCAGGGAAGGGGAGCACGTGTGTCTTCCCCTCACTGTCTGCATTGCAGGTGCCATGCTCAGCTGTGCTCTGACCCATGAGGAGGTTAAGTCCAGGGGAAGAGAGCGCCCGAGGGGAGGGGAGCAGGCAGCAGCTGTCAGGCAGGAGAGCAGGCAGGGCTGCAGGGTGGGATCCACAGGCTTCACCTTCCAGCAGCACTGGAGGAGCTCTGGTTCTGTAGAAGCAGCACAGGAGGGAGGCCTCCTGGTTCCTGCATGCTCTGTTGCACAGTGAGTATAAACCCCTCTGAGCATCGGGTTCTAAACCCCAGGCTACACACTTCCTTGCTAGCAGGGCAAGGACACTGGTCAGACCATGAACTCCCCTCTAGTTTGGACAACAAGGTTGGGGTAGAGAAATGGAGACTCCAGGAGAGGTAGGGGAAGGAGTGACTGTGGAAGTCTGTATTGCTAGAGTAACACACTTTGTTTTAGACTGGCAGCCTACAATCAGGAGAGGTAATGAGCCCCAGGGAGGCTTGTCTTCCCTGAGGCAGCCACCCCCATCCCCATACCAGATACTTTCAGTGGGTGCTGTCCTGAGTGATGGAATCATGGCAGCTGTCTCTGCTCACTGCAGACTTCCAGGACGCCTAAGTCACATTGTAACCCGAATGCCAATTACAAACATCTGTTTCCTTTCTGACAACAATATTAAGTAATAATAACTATGATTATTACTATTTTCTCAAGTTCCTCTTATTCTTAAGTAACCATGAAGTCATATAATCACTTTGTAAGCACACAATATCATCTCATTGTACAGATTTAAAATTATCTTCCCTAGAACTTGTTAGCAATCAAGTCTTTGGTCTGTTATTATTATTGTTGTTGTTTTACTTACTGACTGGTGCTTTTCACTCTGGCCTTGGCCTCTGCTCAGATTTGTGTCTCTAGTCAGTGGTAAGTCACTGCTAGATAACAGGCACCTTGTCTAAGCTGCTTTGAAGAGCAGGGAGCCCAGTCATCTAATCTGTGATGCAAACTTTGTTTCCCAGAGGCTACAAATGAAGGTAAACACCAGGGCAGAGCTACAGGCCTGTGCCTCCAGGGCCTTGGCTCCTTGTTATGTAACAGCTTATGCTAAGGATCTCTGCAGGTGCAGGCAGCCTCTCTGGGGTACCAGAGACTCCTGGCTCTGAGTGAGTTCTCCCAGCTGACTTGGATTTTCTTCAGTGGGCATCTATGTAGGCACTGTGGACAGAACTGACCTGTGTCCAGGACTCCTCTGGTCTGGGAGATCTGCACCATTTTTAAAAAATGTTCATCTTCCTGTATTTGAAAGGCAGAGAGAGAAAGAGAGAGTTTCTATCTCCTGGTTCAAGTCCCAAATGTGTGCAACAGCCTGGGCTGGGCCAGACAAAGCCAGGAGCTTTCTGGTCTACGTCGTGAGTGGCAGGGACCACTTCAAGTACTTGAGGAATCACCTGCTGTGTCTCAGGGTGCACATCAACCAGAGCCAGACTTGTTCCCCACATGGAATGCTGTCCGCAAGGGACAACGTTGTCCACTGCCTCCAATGCCCACCCCAGTCTGAATCCTCTAAAGACTATTTCAGAACAACCTTCTTCGAGATGGTTTCTTAGAGCAGCATCAGGTTCACAGCAACATGAGGAAGCTGCAGAGGTTTCCCGTAAGTCTCCTGCCAGCAGAGGCTCAGGCTGCCCCCGGGCACCGGGTGGCGCATCTGTCACCCCCATGAACCTGCCCTGACATCCACATCACCCTGAGTGTGGTGCATTCTGGGGGACTGGAACCTTGTGTCCTGACATAGGACTTTCTCCTCCCTGGAAGGCTTCTGTGGGCCTGAACGTTTTGAGGAGAGGGCGCCAATGTTGATCCCTTGCCCTGGGGTCCAGGAAGCAGGCCTTTAGCTGGCAGTGCTTCCTGGGCCTCAGGCAGAGGGAGGGCGGCCTTTTGCCCAGAGTCTGTCCAGCAGCTGGACACGTTCACAGAACCTTCACTCTCACCCTGGCTGCAGGCAGAGAGAGGGCTCT